TTGACCACCAAACACTTCTCTGCTGACCACCAAACACTTCTCTGCTGACCACCAAGCATCCCTGCTGACCACGGGTCTCTGGACCCGACAAGGGCTAGGGTGCTGGCCTGCTGCGCTGAGGCCTGAAGGTGAGGAGCTGGGGGAATCGCTTTCCCACTCGTGGCTGTAGTGAGTCGTTTCCTGAGGCGGGTGGCTGGAGTCCTCCCAGGAGGGCTGTGAGAAGCCTGGCTCCCCTGCCCAAGTGACCACCAACACCCAGTGATTCCAACTCCTCATCCCACTCAGCAAAGAAACAATAAAACCAGGTCTTACCTGAGTGCAGGCTGCCTCCATCTCTCGCCTCAGCAACTTACCTGGTCGCCTGCTGCTCTGAATCTCAGCTCTGAGCTGGCGGCTCCCAGACGGAAGATCCTCCCGCAGCGGGCGGTCCTGCTCTTCTCCTGCTGGTTCTCTAAGAGCCTTTGCACCTTCTGTTCCTGCTCCCATGCCCTCCCCAACCTCCCTCACCTGGCCCCTCCTCCTCCTCCATCCTCAGCTGAACTCTCCCGACTCCTCAAATGGTTTCAGGAGTGAGTATGCATCGGTGATTCTCACCCCTGGAATCACTTTGAGCAAAACAAACAAAAAAGCCCCCACAAAAGTGTCCAGCCCCGCCACACCCCCAAATCCACAGCGCTGGGCTGGGTCCCCGTACACACAGGCGCACCTCCTTCACTGTGCTTCGCCTTTGGTGCTTCTCAGATGTTGTCTTTCTACAACTTGAAGGCAAGACCCTCCGCCATCAGTAAGATTACAGCGCGCTTTACTGTGATGCTCGCTTAAGTGCCACGGTCGGGAACCGAGCCTGCAATGGCTCCGGGGTCTGCCTGTACCCACGTGGCTTAACATTCCCCCAGGTGATGCACCTGTGCAGCCAGGAGGAGACTCTCCCATCCAGCATTCTAGACGCTCCTGTGTCATGGGGATGGGGAGCGGGTCGGCTTTGCTCACCTTCACAGCCCAGCACCTAGCCCTAAACCAGGTGCTGCTCAAACAAATCATTTGCTTAATGGGTGACTGAGAACCACCCTTAGCCCACCAGGCTCTGTGCTGCCTCACCAGGCTCCCCTCCCAGGCACAGTACCCCGAAAGGGCGGAGCTTTCTACAAGCCTCCCCTGTAGAGGGCCGCCTGGGAGGCACCTAGGCATTTTCTTATAATTATTGTCAGCTGAACTCAGCATAGGCAGAGCCACGCCCTGGGAACATGCTTCCCCAATAAAGCTGGACATGTTAATCAGGCAGGGGCGGAACTAGATATGTAAATCTAGGCCTTTTGCCGCCTCTCCATCAGAGAGGATGGCGCCCACCTGGCCCCAGCTTAAAATCTATTTCTGCGTCTTGGTCTTTCTTTAATTTCTTAATCCCCAGCTCCTCCACTCAGCAAATGGACTGTTTCCTTTTCCATGCGGGACATGGAAAAGAGAGAAACAGCCCCCCACACTCCCCCACGTGTAGCTCCTAAGTCCTAGTCCTTCGGGGCCCTGCTGAAACACCCCTTCCTTGGGGAAGGCGTCCCTGGCCCCCAGCCCCCACAGTCCTCTGGTGCCTCTCCCCTCCCCCAGGACAGAAGCCTCTGCTGTCTTTTCTGTACCAACTCCCAGTGCTGGGCACCAAGCTTGGCACACACAGTGCTGCTCAGCAGGTTCAGTTGGCTGGTTGAGTGATTTCGTGCTGATATTTTGGACCCATTCAGGAGACTCTGACCTGGTCACAGACAACTCTAAAAGCCCCTACAGTTAAGGGCCCAGCGAGTTGGTGGGATCTGGCAGTGAAACACTTAGCAGGAGCTGAGACCTCTGGGGGCCATGGGGATGACGTCATCTGTTACCGTGGTCAGGGAACCTTCAAGACTGGTGAGTGGGCACAGACCTGTGCAGAGGGCACCACCTGCACACACAGCAGGTGCTCCTGCCTCTCTCCAGAATAGCACACTTGGTTGAATTGTGTCCCCCTCCCCCCCGCCCCCATGAGATATGCTGAAGCCCTAAGTCCTGGTGCCTGTGAATGCAGCCTTATTGGAAAACAGGGTGTTGGCAGGTGCAATCAAGTTGAGGTCCTACTACAATGTCTGGCCTCCTTATAAGAAAGGTGAGCCCAGCTGGTGTGGCTCAGTGGTTGAGCATCGACCTATGAACCAAGAGGTCACGGTTCAATTCCCGGTCAGGGCACATGCCTGGGTTGCAGGCTGGATCCCCCATAGCAGGTTGCAGGAGGCAGCCAATCAACGACTCTCTCATCATTGATGTTTCCATCTCTCTCTCCCTCTCCTTCCTCTCTGAAATCAATACAAATATATATATTTTTTAAAAAGCAAGATTTGAACACAGATATCCCGAAGGAAGATGTCCACGTGAAGACGCAGCCACAAGCTAAGGGGCTCCAAGATGCCAGCAAGCAGCAGAAGCTGAGAGGGGCCCGGAACCGACCCTCCCTGAAGCTCCAGGAGGAACCGACCCTGCTGACACCTTGGTTTCAGGCTTCTGGCCTCCAGGCCTGTGAGAGAATAAATGTCTGTGGTGTAAAGCCACCCAGTTGTGGTACGTTTTTACAAGCACCTTGGAAAACTAACACAAGAGAGGAGACACTCTGATAATCTGTGGGGGAAGAGGAGTCTTACCTCCTGAAAGCCAGATGTTGATGCTGCAGCACTGACTGGGTCCCCACCCGGGGCCTGGGCACACGCCACACAGGTGCTCCTCGTCACGCCACGGGAGGAACTGTCACTTCCTTTGCTTACAGTCCAGGCAACTGAAACTCCCAGAGGTGAGTCCCTGGCTCAGGCACAGCAGGAAGCCAGGGGCAGGGGGTCCAAACCCAGGCCTCTCTCTGGTTTCAAGTCCAGGAATCTCTCCGTGAAGAGTCGGCACTTAGAAAATGGTTAATGGCTTGAGGATTGTGAGCGTCAGCACATTAGAAGTCGATACTGGGGTCCTTTAGCAATGCCCCTGTCCCCACCCTGGTCCCCAGGACACCACTCTGCTCCCTTCCACTTCCCTGACTCGACTCAGCATTCACCTCCATGCCAAGTCCTTTTCAGGGCTCCTGATGTCTACACACGACCCGAAGCAGGCTGCGAGGGGGCCAGAGCTTCAGGGAATGCTAGCAGCTGCTCTGGAAGGCTGGGGAGAAGGCAAAACCAGCCTCTCTAAAGCAGTGGTTCTCAACCTTGGCCGCACATTAGAATCAAGGATGAGGCCCAGAAATCAGGATTTTAAAAAGATTCCCAGGTGATTCTAATGTGCAGCCAAGGTTGAGAACCGCTGCTCTAAAGCAGCGGTTCTCAACCTGTGGGTCGCGACCATCAGAAAACACATATAGCAGATCAGATATTTACATTACGATTCATAACAGAAGCAAAATTAGTTATGAAGTAGCAACGAAAATAATTTTATGGTTGGGGGTCACCACAACATGAGGAACTGTATGAAAGGGCCGTGGCATTAGGAAGGCTGAGAACCACTGCAAGTGGTGGCGCCCGGCTGGTGTGGCTCCTTGATTGAGCATCGACCTATGAACTAGGTCACAGTGATGGCGAACCTTTTGAGCTCCGCGTGTCAGCATTTTGAAAAACCCTAACTTAACTCTGGTGCCGTGTTACACATAGAAATGTTTTGATATTTGCAACCATAGTAAAACAAAGACATATTTTTGATATTTATTTTATATATTTAAATGCCATTTAACAAAGAAAAATCAACCAAAAAAATGAGTTCGCGTGTCACCTCTGACACACGTGTCATAGGTTCGCCATCACTGAACTAGGAGGTCATGGTTGGTCAGGGCACATGCCCTGGTTGCGGTCTTGATCCCCACCCAGTAGGGGGCATGCAGGAGGCAGCCAAGGGATGATTCTCTCTCATCACTGATGTTTCCAGTACCTGCTTTCTCTCTCTGAAATCAATAAAAACATTTTTTTAAAAAATAGTGTAAAAGAAAGAAGGAACCTGTTTCTGAAACTGGGGTGCAGGGCAACACTCAGGAACTGGAGGCACCTGACTGGCAGCAGAGGCCCTGGGAGGGTGGGAATAGGGCTGCCAGTTTTAAAAAGTGCCCAGCTAAACTCGAATTTCAGGTCTACACCAAGTAACGTTTTAGTGTTGCATGGACATACTTAAACTAAACAACTTATTTCTGAAATTCAAATTTAACTGGATCTCTTGTATTTTTATTGCAAAACCTGGCAACCCTAGCTGGGAAGGAAAGAGGACACGTTAGGAGGATGGAGGGAATAAGGTCCGAGAGAACACAACCCCCAGTGTTGGGAGGTGACGTCCCCGAGAGCCCAGGAGGCCATGGGAAGCCAGTGGGTAGGGAGCCGCCCGCCGGCGCTGGCAGACCCGTGGCACGGGGCCTCCCTGGGGAAGTGCAGGCCTCTGGTCTTGCCGGCCCTAAAATTCTGGCCAACAGGGAGGGCAGATTCATCTCCAGCAGCAGGGTGACCTATGAACCCCTTTGACACCTGGAACCCTATAATAACCAGGGAGGGATAAACAAGAAGGGTAGAAATCTGGGGTCTGGCCACCTACCCTGGAGCCACCTCTACACTGGGGCTTGGCAGGCCCAGCGCTGGCAGGGCAGTGGGAAACCAGGGCTGAGTAGGGGACTTGGCCTGTGCCCAAGGGTCACGGTGGCTGGCCTGGAGGAAAGTGGACAAGCTGAGATCCTGCGAGGCCCTGGCTGGGAGAGGGAACGTGGTTGCAGCGAGGACAAGCTTTTCAAACTCAGCCCTGGGCCTGGACTGGTGGTGTTGGAGGAGCTCTGGGATCCACACGCATGTACTGGGGCTGGCGGCTACAGCAGGAGTCTGCAGGGAGACCCCCAGCCCCTGCAGGACAGCACCAGCATCTGGCCCACGGGGTGAGGCCTGCTCTTTGCAGGGAGATGGTCTATCTCCAGGAGCCCTGGGACCAGCCCCCCGCCTTCCTCCCTCCCTCCTCCACCACAGAAACTCACCATTAAGTCAGGCAAGAAAAGCAAACTGTTTATTTACACCTCAGTCTGTACATTAGTTCCCGAGGGAGCCCACCTCTGAGAGCCTGCTTCTTTCTGGCTGGAAGCAGGCTGGGGGTGGAGCGCTCGGGACCCTGGCTCACTGCCTTGGGGCCTCACCCCACTCTCCCCACCCTGGGGCCTGGAGGCGGGGGTCTCACTGAGCCCGAGGGCTGAGAGCTAAGCCCGCTTCCAGATGGAGGCTCCTGGGGCTACAGACTCAGGTGGAACCCAGAGTCAAAGCCATCAACCAACCCTTGGACCTGAGGCCACACGTGCAACTCATTCCATTGGAACTCCCCGCCCCCTTTCCCCCAGGAGGCCCAGCCGAGAGAGTGGGGTGAAGGGAGCCAGCCGGCTGTGAGGGAGTCTGCAGCCACGCCTGGTCTGACCTCGGTCCCGACGTCAGTTCGGGATTTAATGGCACCCGGGTCTGAGCACCTTCAGCAGATGAGGGAGAGCTTGGCAGTTGTTAACGGCAGGCAGGGCAGCAGCGAGAAGCCTCTTCCTTCTGCCCCCCTGTCCGCAGCTGTTCTAGACACCAGATGGCAGCGGCTTCCCCGGGGGCGGGAGGTGCATCTCTGAGGGGCCCACGGAGCTGGCAGACCCAGAGCATCCCTGCCGGGCTGAAGCCCCAGGCTGGGAAGGTGCGCTCTACTTTATAAATATTGACGCCAACGCAGGAGAGGTTTGTGGGAGAAGTTTACACAAAGTCACCCTTTCTGGTGTGCGAGGCTTCTACACTAGCAGCAGGCTAGACGAGGGACTAAGTGGGCCCGAGCCCCCCAAGCTTAAGACCACCATGGAAAATTCTGTACAAGTGACCACGTCTGCACGGCTGAGTGACGAAGGGGCAGTGGAGCCTGGTCCCTGCGGCGGGCGAGCTGGGACACGGGGAGCAGGCCGCACGTGGTGGAGGCACGCGGACACGAAGTGCAACACTATGTACACATTTACAGGCTCGGGAAGGGCCAGGGGCAACGAGAGGATGTAGAAAAGGGGGCAGTGGCAACGTGGAAAGTCCTGTACAGGGGTGACGGGGAAGAAAAAGGCACAAGGACAATGACCCCAAACCATGCAGACAAAACGCAGCCTGGGCAGCACAGAACAGCGGGTCCCGGCAGGAGGCTTGGGCTCCTGGGACAACAGCACTTAGATCCTGCGGGGGTGCCACTCCCAGCCACCCCTCCTGGGGGGCTGGGGGAGACATCCCCCCGTTACAGTCACAATGGGAAGAGAAGCACAAGGTCGGAGCAACAAAATCATGGCGCATCGACTTCACCAGGGTTTACGCTTTTAGAAACAACTTTCTAGAAAGTGGTCTCTTTTCCCAGGTGGGCAGCCTTGGAGTTGCCCTGCCATGCAGGTGGGCAGCCGTGGCCCTGCTCCCCCGGCCCCCGCCCTCTCATGCACACACAGAGCAGGCAGGCAGGACCCAGAGGTCCCAGGGTCAGGGAAGGGAGGGCCTGGCCCCCTAGCCTGAGGCCCCGCAGCAGCATGCCTGTCTCGCAGCCTGAATCACAGCCCTAGAGGGGCTGCCTAGTCCCAAAGGAAGAAAGGCTGGAGATGACAGCAGGGGATGGCCCTCTCCTCAATCTAACACCCACCTCAGGCCTTTAAAGAGTCACTGCAGATCTGCAGGGACAACAAAGTCATTTCCTTGGAATGGTGACCGTCCAAAAACTTCCTGTTTCCAATCACATCTAAAATTAGCTTTTAGGGCCGAAACCGGTTTGGCTCAGTGGATAGAGCATCAGCCTGCGGACTGAAAGGTCCCAGGTTCGATTCCGGTCAGGGGCATGTACCTGGGTTGCGGGCACATCCCCAGTGGGGGATGCGCAGGAGGCGGCTGATCGATGTTTCTCTCTCATCGATGTTTCCAACTCTCTGTCTCTCTCCCTTCCTCTCTGTAAAAAATCAATAAAATATATTTAAAAATAAAGGGCCTGGGAAGGTTCTCGCCTCGGGCTTTGTGTTTTTAACAGGTCAGAAGTCAAGTCAAGCTAAAGAAAGGTCCCTCTTACAATTCGGCAAGGATCTAACACATTTAAAATAAAACATCTTGTCTAACTCTGGCCACGTCAAAGTTAAAAAAAATATTTTCGTACTAGAACTTTATTTCTTATATCTTCCCACAGAATCTAATAGAAGGGGCTTCTGTTCTCTTAGATTCTGTAGATAAAACTAACGTGCCAGTTCCGTGAGTTCTGTCTGGCTTTGAGTTGAGTGCAAGGACAGGCCCGTGTCATATGAAGTGGGCGTCTCTGCAGGAGCCCCTGTAGGGCAGCGGTCACCAGCCAGTTGTCCGCGGACACTGGTGGTCCGTGAGGTCCGAAAGGTTGGTGACCGCTGCTCTAGGTAGTGCTGGTTCCTACCTGGGTTTAGCAAGAACCAAAACCAAAACCCACACAGGCCACCCAGGCAAATCACAATCACCTGGGGCATTTCAAACGTCCGAAGCCTGAGCCACACCCACACCCATGAAATCAGAACCTCTGGGGATTTGGGCCTGTGATCAGAATTTCAAAAATCTCTCCATTTTAATTATGTGCCAACGATTGCGTGGAATATACTTCTACTAAAAATTAGGTCGTTTACCTGAAATTCAAATTTCACTGGGCATCCTGGACACTGTTCACCAGTACTGAGCGAGCCGGGCAGGACCCTCAACCTGAGAACACACGAGGGGGGAGGAAACACAGGAATGGGGCAGACCCAGAGTCAGTGCAGCTCTGGGACCTGCCGGGGTTGGGGGGCTGGGACCCCGAGGCCCCCGCCCTTCTCAGGCTAGCTTTCAAGCACAGAAGAGCTTTTCTAAAGTGTTATCTGAAAAAGCCAATTGGACAGACGAGGTTTCATAAGAGGTATTCTGGCTGATGTCAGAGGCTGGGTGTAACTTGAGGTGTGTGTTACATGGACTTCAGCCTCGTGTTAAAGTCCGCCCTCGTCCAGAGGCCCCACGCCCTGCACCAGGTCCTGAGGGCCTTTCAGACGCGGGGCTTCCTCGGGGAGTGTCCCTGTGGCGCCCCCTGCAGGAGGAGGCGCAGAACGCTGCGGGCTGACCGCTTTTCCCGCCCCTTTCCCCAAGGCAGAACTCCCTTCCCACACTGTGACTGCAACTCGGGCAGGGGCCGCCTCCCACCTCCCTGCAGCTAAAGAGCTTGTACAGTTTTACACATAAAATGCTCATCCCTGGGGCAAGCCCCCAACATCTCTGCGGGACTCCTTCCCAAGTAAAACCCAGACCAAAGCCAGGTCAAGATTATCTTTCCTTTCCTTTCATTCCTGGGGCTCCGTCCTATTAGCAAATTCTCGAGAGACCGGCTCCCTATGCTTTCCTTCCACGCCACTTCTCAGAGCCACGTCTCAGACCCTCGGTGGAGCCCGAGGAGACCAGTGTCCCAAGGGGTTGAGAAGCTCCGGAGGACGGACTCCAGCCCTGGTTTTCCTGGTGTGGGGGGCCCCAAACGCCTACATCAAGCCAACGCAGCCCCGTTATTTGCCGCCTGAAACAAACCCCACATATTCTTGAAAAGAAATCACACAATCCAACCAAAGCAAAAGCTGACAGGACTGGAAAGAAGGTGGGTCGTGGCCGCAGCCTACCTCTGTGAGCAGGGAACCCCCAAGCCCCCAGGGGCCCTCTTCACCCGCCACTACCCTACCTTCCCGGCATACTCCCCTCCACTCCCTCCACAACATGCCCAAACTTTCCCTGTACCCTAGAAGTGCTAACGAAAGCAAACTTCAGGGGGGAAATGAAGACCATCCGTGTTTATGTATTTGGATGGGGAAACGAATCGGCCACATAAAATGGAGAACCACTGGGAAAACTCAAAGGAAAAGTACCCTATCTACTCCCAGCTGCCGGGAACAAAAGATCACATTGAAAATGTGTGTGAACTCCCACACGTGCCCCGAGGACGGACGACTAAGGTTTCCCTGAAACTTCCCCAACTGTGTCTCCCACCAGGACAGCATTCGTCTCCCGTGGGCTGAGGACCGAACGCAGGTGTGTTCCTAAAAGTGGGGATGCCGGGGTCTCCCTGCCCAGCTGAGCCCAGCCCAGAGGCCTGGCTCTGAACACCTGCGCCCGCGGCTGCTGTCACCAGGCTGCGCAGAACGCAGGGTGGTGAGCAAGGCCCACTGCCAGGCCCAGAAGCGGCCGACGGTCCATCCTGGCTTCTCTTTCCAGATGCAGCCGGCGGAAGGAACCTGGTGGGGAGGCGAGCGTGCTCCTCCCCGAAAACCATGTCTTTGGTTGCCCGATGACAACACCTGTCTGAAACACCCCCGTCCCTCAGCCTCCTTCTCCTTCCTTTAATCCCTGCACGTTACAGCCAAGTGAACGCTGCTTATTTTTCATGGTCTCAAAAACAAAACAAAACAGGAAGGGAGAGGTAGGTCAGCAGCGATGGGAGGGGCACGGAGGGCGCTAAAAACACGAGGCTTCTCAGAATGAAGGTGGCTCGGCAGCAAGCCCGAGTCCTTTGGACACACGGTGCACAAGCATCGCAGGGGCTGCCGGCTGGGGAGGGGGCTGGTGGGGGCCCCTCCTCACGTCCCCCTAAACACCACTTCCTCCTCTCTGAGCTCCAGCACCTGGACTTCAAAGGTGGCTACAGAGGCTGGCGAGGACACCGCTGTTGGACAGTTGAACTCCCAGGAAAGGTCATAGCTTTGCTCCTGCTCCCAGAAGGCATGGGTGGGAGAAGGAGCTGTCTCCCTAGAGTATTTAATCCTCACCCCAGAGGTAGAATCATTTTATCCAGTATCTGCAACACAAGCTTCCAGTTCCTGTTATTACAGTCACTCCTGATTGCAGACCTTGCCCTCCGCAACCTCCAGGACGCTCTGCCCCTGCAAAGGGACCACAAAGTGCATGGACAGCTAACGGCGCCGAGTCAACCCCAGCCACGGCCCCACGCTCACCCCTCGCTGTGTGCTCAGCGTCCACACCAGTACACATTACACGGTGGCCAGAGATACATTTTCAGTGTGTGTGGGGACCCGGCTGGGGCCGCATCCTCAGGCAGGGCCTGCCCTTTGGTCCTGGGGTCCCAGGGTCCCGAGGCCACTCTGCAGCCAGCCCCCGTCTCAGTGTTTGATCTCGAGGATGGAGGGGTTATGGTCCAGGATGGCGAGGATGATCTTGTCCATGTACTGCCGCAGCCGGAAGTTGATCTCCTCCTGCTCCTTGAGGGCTTCCATGAGCTGATGGTAATGGGAGAGGCGGTCAGAGGCCGGCCTGGGCGGAGCCAGGTGCCCGGGCTCACAGGGAGCCAGTGCCCAAGGACAGAGCTCAGGAGACCCAGGCAAGGCAGCCCCAAGACCAACCTCAGCACTCGGTGCCAGGACACGAGTCTAAAGCCCAGCTCAACTCACACCCAAGGAGAGTGAACCATGCAGATGCCCAGGCCCACCCTCAGAGATCCTGATTTGACTGGTCTGTGGAGGGGCCCAGGTATGGGTAAGTTTTTGGTAAAAGCTGAGAACACTGGCCAAAGGCATTTATAATCAAGACGAACACCCAAAACCCCAGGGCCCTAAGACTTGTAAGGCTGTTTCTTCAGCCTGGAATGGCCCCCTCGCCGCCCCTGGCCCTGCCCTTCTCCAGGTCCATTCCTGACAGTCCTTTGGGATGTCACTGAAATGCTACATCTCCCCGGCTCACCTGGGAGCTCTCTGAGGCCAGGGGTCCCAGCACAGGGTAAGGGGTTCAATGACTGTCTTAGATTCATGTTTAAATGTAACCGGAGTATTTGGAGAGAGACCTGAGCTTTTATGACCGTACCCCGGTGGGGCCGGAAGAGGAGGCTTGGTGCTGGAGGCCTGGGTCCCTCCTCCTCCACAGGCTCAGTGATCCTGTGTCCTGGCCTCCCAGTCTGTTCAGACAGCCCCCGAGTTGTCAGAAGATGAAGTGAGGGCATACTGCCAGCAGGTGCTCCAGAAGTGGCTTGGAGGAGGGGAGTTACAGACCCCCTGGGCTACATGTTAATGAAATCAACTGGCCATTTCAGCACATTCGTGGCTGAGCTAAGACTCAAGCTCTAAACCGGAGCTCCTCCCACCACCTGCAGGAAATCAAAGCTGATGAAACCCTCATGCAGCTCTGCCCTCACTCAGGGTTGCTGCAGATGGGGCCTCCCCGGGGCCAGGCCTGGTCTGCTTTCCCTGCTCTGGGCAGCCTGGGGCTCGACGCTGCAACAGGTGGGGATGGGGCAGGGCTAGAGGAGGACCAGGCCCCGAAGTGAGAGCAGGAGTGAAAGGGCACGCTACCTCATCGCGCGAGGCCGTGTCGATTTCCGAAGCCAAGGACTGTGCTTTGGTCTGGGTGGCAAAGAGGTTCTTTGCTTCGTAGAGGCTGAGGCTCAAGATCTGCCCATTCAAGTCATCATTCTGATCCCTCAGCTTATGATTCTCCTGTGAGGAGGATGAAGGCACTATCAGCTCCCGGAAGCATCCAGAACCCACCTGTCTGCATCCACTGTCACCTGACTCCCACCAGTACCCTCCCCTCAGGTGGGTGTCATGTCAGGACCCCATAGATGATGTGGCTGCTGCCAGGCTTGGGTGGGGGGAAAGGGCTGGGTCCTGGGAGGTCAAGGGGTTCTTAGAAGTCACAGCCCTGCTCGGGGAGCCTGGTTTCAGGTCACCCCTTCCTCCCTGGGGGTGCATGAGCCAGAATGGAGCCCCTGAGGCCCTGTGTGGGGACACTGCCCACCCGTGGCTCCTCCAACACTGGCCCCTCGGGGAGGAAAAGATGCCCTGGGGTGTCTGGGCTGGCAGTGGCCTCTCTCCTCAGCGCCTCCTGCAGCCGGGCGCAGGAGTGCTGCTCTGGGAGCTCTCTCCAGGCGCATCCTCGCTCCCCAGACCCCGCCCGCCCATGCCCTGCCCAGACCCGGTCACCAGCCCCACGCTCTAGCTTTTGCCTAGGCTGCTAAGGCAGCGGTTCTCAACCTGTGGGTCGCGACCCCTTTGGGGGTCGAACGACCCTTTCGCAAGGGTCGCCTAAGACCATCGGAAAACACATATATAATTACACATTGTTTTTGTGATTAATCACTATGCTTTATGTTCAATTTATAACAATGAAAATACATCCTGCATATCAGATATTTACATTACGATTCATAACAGTAGCAACATTACAGTTATGAAGTAGCAATGAAAATCATTTTATGGCTGGGGGTCACCACCACATGAGGAACTGTATTAAAGGGTCGCGGCATTAGGAAGGTTGAGGACCACTGTTCTAAGGACTCACACCTGGGACCCCGGGCGCCCCCTGGTGGATGAGAAGAGCTGGGTTTAGCACTGCCGAGGGAGGGTGAGCACCAGCATCAGCTGCCCTGGAGCCAACTCGGGGTATAATTTGTATGGCGCTCTCCCACCCTAGCCGGCTAAGGATGGGGCTGCAGCAGCCATCACTCCCTCACTTGGTCACTGCCCCTCCTAGTCCCTCGTCCCCAACCCCTGACGGATCTCCATCATAGGAGTGCTCCCAGAAACCTTATGAGATGGGTCTGCTGGGAGACCCCACACAGGGAGGCACTAATATTCGGCCGGGGGGTCTCATTCCCCATCCCACGTGCCCAGGACAGAAGAGTGGCGTCTATTTCTTTTACTGGATCCCAAGGAAAGCCCCGGAAACCTCCCTTAGCTGTGGCTGCCTTGCCTGAGCTCAGAGATGAGGGCGAGCAGCCCTGACAGCCAGGTTGTTGAGTGGAGCAGGCAGGAGTGTGTGGGAACCCACCCCCAGGGCCTTGGACACCTGATCCCGCCGCACTGAGGCTCCCAGGGCGCACCTGCTTGAGTCGCTTGATCTCATGCTCCAGCTCCACCTCGCGGGCCCTGGCGCTGAACTCGCCCAGGCCGGAGGATGCGCTGCGGCCCCTGCCTGGCCGCTCGCAGTCCAGCTTGTACATCTGCAGGTGCTCCAGCTCCTTCCGCAAGTCCTCGATGAGCTGCGTGGGGGAGAGGCCGTTGGTGGGAGCAGGGCCAAGGAGGGAACCTGGGGCCCTCTGGCCCGGGACCCACCTCCTGCGTGGCCTCCCGCTCCTTCTGGAACTCGAGGCGGTTCTGCCGCAGCTTGTCCATCATGCGCTTGTACAGGTCCATCTCATCCTTGAGCCGCAGGCTGGTGTCCTCCAGCCGGTCGGACATACGCTGCCGCTCCTGGGGCCGGGAGAACCAGGTGAGTGAGGAAGGTTCCCAGAGGGGCTCACTGTGCCCTGGGGCTTCCCTGAGGGTCCGTGTCAGCCACCTCGGGCAACCAGACCACCCCCGAGACAGAGCCCGCGGAGTCCCGCTACAGAAATGTCCAGCCCCTAGGACTCTAGAACCGCGGACACACCGAGGCCTCTGCCGCCTTCAGTGATGCCAGGTGAAACTCGGCTAGAAGGCGGCAGCCGAGCGTTTAGAAAGAAGCCCTTTTCTCCGTTTTATTGTAAAAGGAACTATATTCACTGCAGAAAATCAGAAATACAGGAAGACAATTCATTATTCATATCTTACTGCCTTTTTTCTCGGGCAATTTTATTAGAATTTCAGAAACTAAAGGCCTCGCGTGGCCACGCTGCCTGTCTGTGCATTTGGCTCCAGGTCCAGGCCTGAGAGGTGCTGCACCTGCTGCTCACCTCGTCCAGTTTCTCTGTTTGCGACTTGAGCCGAGTCACTGTTGTCCTGAGCTCTGTGTTCTCCTCCTCTAACTGCTGCACCCTGAGGAGAGAAGGACGAAGATGTCAGACAATCTGCAGCAATCCTCTGCTCCCGCAGGAGGAAAGGTACCAGAAAGCAAGAGAGAGAATATAAATAATTATTTCAAAGGATAACACCGCCTTGAGCTTCCCGTCATCCAAGGAAAAATGGTAGACACTGAATTATTTTTATATTTTTCTTGATTCGCTTGTTTGTGAATAAGAACGTTAAGATTCTTTTCACATGCGCCCTTACGGCCTGAAACTAACGAGGGGCATGCTTGTCTCCTGAGAGGAAGCCGTCCTGTGGTTGTCTGACAGGGCCCTCCTGCTGGAATCCGCAATGTGAAGGCAATGACCGTACTTGTTTTCTGTCCCCACAGCATCTCACCAGGGCTCTTCCTTCTGAGAGCTCACTCCAGCTGCCTGACATCCACAGGAATCAGCTCCAATAATCGTAATCCTCTACGTTAGCATTCACCAGGGACTGTCCTGCTGCGACCCCATGAAGAGACAGCCCGGGTGCCCAGGTAGGTGGTGGTGTTTCTTTTTAATCCTCACCCAGAGATATTTTTCCCACTGATTTTTCCATAGAGAGTGTATGGGAAAGGAAGGATAAAGAGAGAGAGAAAAGCACTGATGTGAGAGAGACACTGATTGGCTGCCTCCCGCACCTGCTCCAGGAGAGGCCCACAGGCCAGGCCAGAAAGAAATTCAGACATGCACTCTGATGCGGCCACCTCGTGGGGAACTCGAGATGGTGGCGGATGTGAGGAACAAAGCACCCCGCATGGCTCTGGGAGCACAGTCTGCATATTCGATATGCACAGCGCCCCCTGCAGTTGTGCAAGGGGCATGGGTTAGGAGACAGTTCCCAAGAGGGCTGGCTTTCTGTGGTTTGGCCTTTGGCCCACACTCACTGTCCTCTCCACTACCTGTTCCTCTCAGGCCAGCCCTCCTGGCCCGCTGTCAGAAGCAGACAGAAAACAGTGCCACTTAATGAGGGACCAGCCTCCAGAAACAGATGCAAAACAGCAGCTTCGAGACATGAGTGAAGCCCTGGTGGTAAAGCTAACAAAGCGGGTCCAGGCACAGGGGAGTTAGGAGGTCTCGCCGACGGGTGGAGGGGCACCAAGTGCACTAGTGCCCTCTGGCCTGCCTGATCTCTGCAGGCGGGGAAGCACCTGCTGCCAGCCTGAGGGGCAAGGTGGGAGCCCACCTCCCCACACACCCTCCCCGCACGGTGGCCCAGCAGACACCAAGAAGGCTCAGCCCGGACACTGGGGACTGAGTGCGGGGGCAGCTGTGCGCTCTGCCAGGGCCCAGGAGGCCTCCCTGAACCGGGACATCGGCACAGCCCTCACCCATTAGCAGTGTTCTGATGTACATCAGCTCACCCACCCTCAGGCAGGGAGGGAGGGAGGGATGACAGGTGAGGAAACTGAGGCCCAGGGAAGTGACCTAGTGCGTTCCAGCTCATGGAACTGATGGGACCAGCCCCGAATCCCAGGTCAGTACCCCTCTCCCTGCCTGCCTCGGGTTCTAACCTCTCTATCGGAGCCCAGCTTTTCCATTTCCGTTGGCTTGTGGGCCCAGGGTGAGTGAAGAATCTGACAGCAGGGGGAGCTCCAAGCCTGGACATTAGTCTCAGCCCAGGCATCAGGACAGTACCGGTTTGGGGGCTTTCTACCCAGACACGTGTTGTTTCCAGTTTTACCTGCTGTGAACAATTCTGCTATGTACATTCTTTGACACGCCTAGAGAACATGTCACGTGTTTAGGTATCAAAAGTAGAACTGCGAGGACACAAGGCCTCCCCTCTGGCTGCTTTCCCGTCTCTAAAATGGGGACGGCAGCACTGCCCCACAGGCTGTGCCAGGAGCGTGGGAGGAGGGGGTCAGGAGGCAGCGGCTCTGGGGAAAGCCCACCTGGTGTGCAGCAGCTCGATCTCCGTGCTCCGCTCCCTCTCCAGCTTGCCGTAGGCCTCTCGGTGTCGCCGCGCCTCCTCTTCCAGGGCCTGCTCGGCCGTGGTCTCCTGATCCTTCACCATCTCCTCCAGCTCGTGCACCCTGTAGAGAGGAGCGGACTCCAGTCCAGGGCCAGCTCCCATGGCCTGTGTCTTCTCACCCACCCAGGCCGCAGCCACGGAGAGCCCTGGACCCCAAGTCACTAACGCCCCTCCTGTGGGAGGTGGAGGCGTGTTTGTCAGGCCTGGGGCCAGCAGCTTTGCTGACAGATGAGTTAGGGACACTATGGCACCCAAGGAGAGGTGTCAGCCGGGCATGCCATGGAGGCGCAGGCCTGGCAGTGGGTCCAGAGGGGAGCGAGGCTGTGCCTGAGAAGGTGGGATTCCCGGGCAGACAGAGAGAGGGACCGCAGGCCCCGCCACAGCTGAACGAAACAGCCCTCAGGCCTCTCCTCCTTTCCCTCTCTCCCTTCCTGCCAGGACCCCTTAGTCAATAATTCAGCTTTTGGGCACCTGACTCCTGGCTAGTGGCCTGAGCATGGCAGACCTGGGACAGGGCCAGGCCCCACTATGGGTGTTCTAACCCCAGTCCCGCGGGCCTCAGCGGTCCCTCCACCTGGGGCACATGTCATTGGCAAGAGTCCCTCTGTGAGACTGACCTTCTGGGAGGGGAGTACAAGGTTGAAGATCAGGGCCTGGGCGGGGATCCGTTTAACAAGTTTCAGGCTGTCCTGGGAAGACAACTAAATGCTCTGTGCGCTGAGGAATTCCAGACCCCCAATCAGGAGCAAGTGCAGCACCCCCACTCCCACGTACTCCTGTCAGCACTGGGGAACGCCATGTTCAGCGGGCCTCCATTGGAGAAGAGAAGAGCAATGCTGGACTTTCCCCACCGGCAGCAGGTGTGGGCCCTTGACTCACACCAGCCTCTCCCTGCGCAGAGCTGGCCCCCAGGAAGGGAGGCCAGGCTCTCATCTTTATAGGACACACACAGGAGAGTGGATCCCAGCTCCTGCCTCAGACATGCCCTGGGGCTGCAGACCTGGGGGGGTCAGTGTCAGGCTCCTACCTGTCTCCCTGTCCCCAAAGACCTGTCCCCCTGGGCACCCTGCGTGGGCAGAGCCAGGGAGCAAGGGGCTGATTCGTCTCAGACCTGCAGAGCTGAGAGCTCCCCTAGCTTCTCTTGGGGCTTTAGCAACAGGGACAGCCCTCCGTTCCTAAGTCACAGCCAGCGCCCCTGAGCCAAGGCCACGGCCTGACCTGTGCACCAGCTGGGTGTTCTCCTGCTTCAGCTTGCTCTTCAGGTCCCCATTGGTCAGGCTGTCATTCTCCAGTTCCGTCACCTTTTTTTCCAGGAAGCTCACCTACAACAGGGGGCAGAGGAGGGGGTGGATAAAACCTCTGAGGCCCCAGGACTGAGAACCTAGAAACCACGGGACCGAAGGCCAGGCCCTCCAGCTGACTGTATGAAGAGCAGTCATGTTTGGTGGGAGTGAGGATGGGGTGGGGATGGATGTGCCCACGTGATCAGGAGGTACAAGCTCCCAAAGAGCATCCCGGGGTGCTCCCTGCTGCCCCCAGGGAGCAGGGCCCACCTTCTCTGTGATGTCGTTGTCACAGGAGTCAATGCTGTCCCGGAACAGGTCCTCGGTGCTGCCGTTGCTGCTGCTGAAGTTGCTGCTGTGCATGAGCTGCCTGCAGGGGTGGAGGGAGGCGCGTCTGGATGCAGAGGGCCTCTGGGGACTGAGGTCCAGACTGGGGCACCCAGTACCCCAGGGATGTGTGCGCCAGAACCCCCTCTAAGGAGGCTGGCCTCACCCAGCCAGGGGAGAGCTGCCTGACCTCTGAGCTCCTGAGGCCATCCAGCTCAGAGGGTGGCAGGCGGCTGCTATGCCCCTCAGATCCCATATACGGGGCCAATCCATACCAGCTCTTTCCTGCTGCGTCAGAACCCTTGCACACGGTAGATCTAGCCAGTAGCTGCCAAGTGACCAGAGCTGGTGGATAAGCCCCGACCCCCCCAGCCTGGCTCCACGGTCCCAGCAGAAGGACTGGCCCCAGAGGCCACCAGGAAGCAGGACCCAGTGCCCTCACCAAGTTGCTCCTGCTATATCTTTGGGGCCCCTTGGGGGAGGGCAAAGGAAGACCACCCGGACTGTGCTGGCAGTGTGTAGTGGGTGAGACTAGAATCCTGGAAGCAGGCAGATGTAGCTCTTGCCTGAGGCAAATCCCAGCTCCACTCCCCAGGGCTCCCACCTCCCCCTGTTAGGCAGCAGCCAGGGTCCCCACCAAGAGGCTGTCTCACCCTGGCTCCTGGGCCGGAGCCTGGGCGCTCGCTGGCAGCTCCCAGAGCCCTGAGTGCAGACCCGGGGCCACTTTGTAGGAGAACCAGAGCGGGTCCTGGTAGTCCCAGGAAATCAGCTCCGCAGGATCTAACCTGGAGCGAAGCCACCACCTCTGCCAGCAGGAAGCCCAGGGCCTCTCAGAGCACAGGACAGGCACTGACAGCGAGGGGCGCTGTGCTGCCTGAGGCTGACTCTGCCAGAGAGGACAAGGCATGGAGATGGGGAGGGGGCTGGCCCTTCTTTCTCAGGAGTGTGTCCTCTGGTGGCTCTGCCTGCGCTGCCTGGCACGCCGAGTTCTCTCTGCTCATTCAGCCACACACAGGGTGCAGGGCACCGCCTGGGTCGGGGCTGCTGGCATGGAGCTGGCTGCCCTGGCAGCAGGGACAGCATTCAACCTGTCCTCCCTTGGGATGGGGAGAGGGAGGGGGCTTACCGTCCAAAAGCCGTGCTGGAGATCTTTCGGTTGGGGCTACAGAGAAAGAGAGAGGGTAGACATGGTCAATGAACAGCGGGGCTCTGGGCTGCCCCTTCCGCTCTGGCTGCAAGACACCGAAGTTTGAGCCAAGCTTTTCCCAGCCCAGCGCAGGGATCTCCCCGATCAGCTCGGTCCTGAGAGGCAGCACCCGGATTTTCCTGCTGCAAAAAAACCCAGGCCCCGAGGATCAATCCCATTCTGAGAGTGCTCTCACCTGCCTGCTGCTTCCCCTCCTGCCCCCACCTCTCCCACCCCCGCCACCTGCCCCCATGCTGGGCCCGGGCCTCACCTGTTGGCCTTCAGGTTTTTCAGTCGGGCTTCCAAGTCATTCAGAAGGTTGATTTTCTTGCAGCACTGAGAGCAGTAGACATCCAGCAAGTCACTGTTGTACGCGTGCCGCATTTTCCGGGGTGTCTGCCCTGCACTGATTCATTAAAGAGAAGGCAACCCCTTCTTAACAGCTGTCCAGTCTGGTGCCCACTGCATCCTGCCGAGCTTACTGTACTGGGTTCCCCAATACCCGGGAACCTTGTGTGTGTGTGGCTGGGGGGTGGAGAGTGGGAGGACAGCACCAGGTCTCCTCTCCTTCAAAACTCTCAAATAGAAACAGCCAATGAATTGTATCCATTTCATAGATAAGGCAACTGAGGGCGCTAGAGTTAGAGTAATCAGTGACTCAGGTGTGTGGAAGGTGTAAGTATGCCACCTGGAAAAACGCTTCAACAATGAGGTTCTAGAAAACAAGACAACAAAGACCCCCGAGTCTGCAGACTCCCAGGCTGGTTAATTCTATTTCCTCCCCAAGATGGGAGGAGAGAGAAGGAATTCCAGACCCCCATCAGGAGCAAATGCAACCCCTCAACCTCCAGGAGCAGAACCCATGTAGCTCAGGACTCTGCCTGCTGAACCCCCCGGGGATGCGGCTGGGTTGGCTCTGCCACTTTTCCTGGACCCCAAACACCATTCCAGACCGAGGGGCCACCTGGAAGACACTGAAGACCCCAGGTCCGAGTAGACGTTGGTCCTGGTCTCGTCGTCGGGGCAGGGGCTGCTGGGAGCACAGTCCACATCGTCTCCCTCCCCGTAGTCTTCAAACTGCTCCTCGTTGCTGATGAGCGAGGTGGTGGAGTGTGTGGAGAGGTCTGAAGTCGTCATGGATGGAGTGTGGCCCAGGGACCTGGTGTTAGAGAAGGGTTGCCCGTTAGAGGCCACAGCCTGGGGTCGGAAAGCTACCAGTCCTACCAGCAGGTCCACTGGTACGACAGATGCCAGGGGCCTGATTAAGTTTGTGCCTGGTGATATGCTAAGTACACTTTTAGGACCTTATCCAAGGGGAACATCCCACCATAGAAACTGTTTCTGCCCGAGAGATAGTCAAACCCTGCAGCAAAAATTGCTTATAACCCAATGGTCCACATTCAGCTACTTTACATTATTACACTTTTTTGTTTTCTTTTTTTTCCTTTTTTTACATCACACTTTATATTAAATTATAATACATATCAGTAAGTTAGCTTATTAAATTATGGTCTATCAAATCATTGTTGAAAGGTTTATTAAGAATAATGGCAATAACATGAAAAAATTAATATTAGGTTTTAATTAAAGTTGTACATAAAATTCTAGCTATAGTAAGATTGAGATGATAAACGTCTATACAGAATAAGGAAAAGTTGTAAATGAATACATTTAAGTGGTAACAGAGCTTGACTTTGGGTGGTGGGACTATGAGTAAAGTTAATTATTTCCCCTCCATTCTCACGTCCCCAACTTTCCCAAGTTCTATTTAATTGGCTTGTACTCCTTTAATATCGAAATGAAGTTTTAAAACAAATAACAATGGGCTACCAGTGAGATGCTCCTCCCTGTTTACAGAGGGGATTTCTAGTCCCAAAGAGCCTAACTCCAAGAAGCCCGGCGCCCCCCTCCCCCCACCTCGGTGACCCACGGGGCAGCGGGTACAGTGTCAGGCTGGTGGAGCCCTGTCCCTAACCCAAGAACAGGGAGGCACAACTCATCACCTGCCAAGATCTTTCCTCCCGTTAGTCATCATGCAGTATTCCCTGGGTACTGTTACTCATAAGCTAGGGTTTCTCTGACCTCCCAAGCCTCCACACTCGGAAACCTGAAACAAGTGTGTAAGGGGCTGAGGCAGTGGTTCTCAAACTGTGCCCCCGAGGAACCCCAGGTTCTACCTAAGACTCCCAGGTTAATGACAGGGTGTTAAAGATCGAGTCTCCAGTACCTCCACCCAGATGTATTTATTTCCTTATCTATCTGCCCTCAGGTTCCTCAGCACCTCAGGCTGAATTAATCATACTCCTCCTTTCTTTCTCCTATACATTTTTAAAAAATATTTTATTGATTTTTTTTTTTTTTTTTTTTTTTTTTTTACAGAGAGGAAGGGAGAGGGATAGAGAGTTAGAAACATCGATGAGAGAGAAACATGGATCAGCTGCCTCCTGCACACCTCCCAGTGGGGATGTGCCCGCAACCCAGGTACATGCCATTGATCGGAATCGATCCTGGGACCCTTCAGTCCGCAGGCTGACGCTCTATCCACTGAGCCAAACCAGTTAGGGCTCTCCTATACATTTTACTAAAATTTCTGGCACCTGTTGCTGGCTGCCTCCTGGTGATTGATGGTCTCAAAAATCAATGGAGACAATCAAGTGGCAAATGATTAGCCAAAAGGCCAACAGGTCTGCAGTCAGTGACCATCTGTCCTTGGGTTGGTCACAGGAAGCACATGGATAAACAACTCCACAAGGCCCCTCGAGAACTCCCAGAGCCCCCAAGTTTGAGAACTCCTGTGCTGAGGAAATACATTAGGTTGAACCATATGAAGCTGCTTTTTAAAAGTTGAAAGTTATTAAAAATGGACAGTTTCATATGGTTTGATCGATAAAGGAACCCCTCCCCGCCTCTCCAATCTCAGGGTCAGCTGTGACCATTACCTCCTCCTGACACATGAGATACCAGCTCCCAACTCTCACGGCCTCGGCTCTGAGGGCGGCTGCTGCCCATCACCCCACAAACACGTATCATCTCTCCAGGGACAGAGTGAGGGCTGGAAGGAGAGGGACCCTCTGCTGACACCAACTAAAAACGACACTGCCCCATTGGGAAGTCACTAGGTCCTAACGTCATTTTAAAATAATAATTCTGGATATGAGAACACATGAGCAATAAAGAAAATACAGAATATATAGCCCAGTAGATGGGAGGTAATTAAAGCCATTAATAATCTCATCCTGAAAGAACTGCTAATTTTCTGGAATCATTTTTCCTAGGCATTTATATATATAAATATTTTTATATACTAGTACATATATATTTTTTTAAATAAAACTAAGATCATACCTCATTGACATCCTGTATCTTGCCTTTTTTAAAAACTAATTGAGATCAGATATCCCATATCATTAAGTAGTGAAGCTTGACTTTACACGGTTGCCTAAATTCTGGAACTGGCACTGTTGTTAAGCCTTTAGATTGCTTGGAAGTTTTGCTATTTACAAACACCCATGAAACGTATGCCTGGGATGTGAACCCCAAGTGTATGTCGTTCGCTTCCGGGAGGTCCCCTGGGAACCCACCTCCGGGCCCAGGGGTCACGCGTGGGGTTGCAGACAGCTTTCACTCACTTGTCCTCAGGCAGGAGCAGGCCCCCGAGACCCCCGTCCTTCTCCTCGGCAGGGCTCCCGACAGGCCCCTCCAGGCTCTGGGTGCTCTCCATGGGGCTGTCCATGTCTGACTCGGGGGGGCCCTCGGGCGGGGCCAGTGTCATAGCCTCCTCCTCATCCTCAGGAAAGAAGCCGGGCTCCCTGGGGAGGACCTCGCCATCAGCAAAGGTGGGGCCTGGCACCTCGCTGCCCTGGAAAGGACAGAGACACACGGAGTGAGTGAGGGTGGCTCCCTAGGGCTCAGCACCGGTCATCAGATGGCAAGGACACATTACTAATTATGAAGCCCAGGCGCCCCACCTAATGACAGCAGGAACGGCACGCAGGGACCCTGAGGCTCCAGGTATGAGCGCGCCTGCCAGGTGATTCACCTCGGGGCCTCTCACACTGCCCGCCTCACGAGAGCCCAGTGAGGAGTCAAACCCCCAGGGACAGCCACCCATGGAGGAGGGCCACAGCCAGGCCGGCCATGGTTCAAGGCACCCGGGCAGCTCGTCACGATCCCCGTCACAAAGGCTGCACAGGAGGCCAAATAGCTTGGGAGAAGGCTTCGTGGTGATGGAGCTCAGGGCACAGCCCCAATGAATGGTCACCGAGAACAAGGACCCTGACCTGCAGAGCTTGCCACCCAGCACAGGGACGTGCGTGCAGCATGACACCCGCCATGACGCTGGGCACTTCCCATAACCTCTCGGGACCTCCCTGTAAGTTGGGGGTGGCAGTGAAGTCTTATAGGAGCGCTGTGTCACAGTGGGCCTCGAAGAATACACCCCGGTCACAGGATGCGATGCCAGCCTGGGGGGCACGGTCTCCTTGGCCCTGCCACAGCCACACAGGAGCAAGAACACCAGGCTCTCCATTCTGCGCTCTGGGCTGGTCCCCGGCGCCTAGCATGCTGCCCGGCGCAATGTTGGCGCACGATTTGCCTGAAGCTTTTGTTTAAATCATCTTCTAGGAGAAGGGGTCTGGTCTGATGCAGAGCTCACTCTGGTCTGAGGAACAGCTCTCTGCAAACCTTTTCCTGGGGCCACTTTGTCTCTGAGGAGGTGGGTACCTCCCAGGTGGCACTGCTTCCACCTGCTCCAAGGTTAAGCGGGCTCCTCGGCTCGGGCTGGCACGGCCCCTCAGGAAAGGTGCTCCCAGCAGCCCCAGAACTGCAAGGAGGGTTAACAGTCGAAGGGCTGTGGGAAGCCTCCCGGCGGCTCCTCAGACAAGGATCAGGGACATCTGAGGAAGGTCAGTGACAGGCGTGCTGTGCCCGCCCAGATGTGTGCAGCCAGTGGTGCGCAGGCTCCTGCGGGTCTAGACCCACCAACACATCCTGGGCTAAGAGATGCTAATTAATGAGTCTGGCTCCTGCCGGTGCCAGGCTCCGGCTGAGCACCAGATGGGCCAATAAAGTCAGCATCAGACAGCCAGGCCCCCGACTGTGTAATTAAAATCACCCCTGGCGTTCACATAGCCCTTTCTACCTAGATGTCACTGCTCCAAGCCCACGTGGCTCCCAACTCCCTCAGATCCTGTCCTACGCCAGCTCCTCCCCTGCAAGCCCGACCGGCATCCCAGGAGGAACTCACATTTATGGGCAGCCACCGGGTCTGTGCCGAGGGCTGATATATTACCCCATTTGGGCTCCGTGACACCTCTTCAGGATTCTTATCTCCTTTACTAATGAGGACATCACGGCTCAGAGAGTCACCTGCCAAAAGTCCTCGCCCTGCCTCCGAGGTCCCCACCTGCCTCAGCCACAGGCTTGGTTCCCTTTACCACTGGTGCAACCCACACTTCATGGGCTTTCAAACCTCATGGTGACCATGAGAACACACATCACAGGGCAGATTACTAATTGTGAAGCCCTATTGCTGCAGCTGCACGTGCCCACTTCCTGTCCCCACAGGAAACTCCCCGAGTCCGTGTGTGGATGCCTGGGGAGAAAGCAGGAGGAGACAGCCCTCCAAGGAGAGCTGGGGCTCCTGCAGGGGCAACGTGCCTGCGAGCCTGCACCTTCCCGGGCCCGGCAGGGGAGCTAGCACAGCTAGGAACCCAGCCTCGTGGCTCACAGGAGCACTCAGCACTTCACAAATGCGCGTTTCCTTCGGCCTTCACAGCCCTGTGAGCTGGGTCTCCTCTCCCGCGCTGTGTAGGTGGGGACTCGCCTGGAGCCTCGGGAGTTAGTGGCAGGGCTGGGACTGGACTGTGCGTCACCAACACCCACTCTCCCACAGCACCGTGCCAGCAGGGGTCCCCGGGGACGGCAGGCAGGCGCCAAGTGAGACCAGCATCCGTGCTCAGGTGACCGGCTTGGCCTCGGGACAACTCCTGTTGACCTCACTGGATACCCAGACCCAGAGGCTGAGTTTCTGCCAGGCACTGTGCCCGGAGACACCCCACACCGCACACAGGTACCTGGTACCCGACATCCCACAAGCGAACCGACTCCGGGCAGCTCACCCATGGTCCCAACCAGAGTGGCCCTGTCTCAGCCACAGGTGGGGCAACAGAAAGGATAGATGCCCACAGGGGTCCCTCCCTCCCACAAGACCGCCACCTCCTGAGGCGTATTTTTACCCTGTGACTGAGCAGAGTCCTTATCTGCCTGGCCCCGCACACCTGACAAAGCCTCCTGTATATGTCCGTCTCACAAACTCCCCACCCGCCTCTCACTACAGCCCCAGAGAGCGCTGGGAGGTGTACAGAGCAGAGATTAAGGACTCATGGTCTCCATCTGACATGGGCAGGGGTTACCCTGGAACTTCCCAGCCTCAGAGACCTAAAGCCAGTCTCCCCTTGCCAACGCCAGGCCCCTCGCCCACTCCTCACTTCCTCTCTCTCTCTCTCTCTCTCTCATCATGCCAGCCTTTTCCTTTAAAGTTAGCTGCTCCCTACACTATCACCCTTTTCATTCAACCCACAATTGTTTGCCCGAGGCCAGTGGAAATTTTAACTTCAAAACCACTTCTGGTAGTTTTCCCCTCCATTCAAATAATATAAGGACGGCTAGAAGGAAATTAACTAACTGCACCCCGATTAGTCTGGGAGGGTAGCGCTTTGGCATTTGTCCTGGACCAAAGCAACCCTGTCACCTGTTGTCCTCCCCGAGGGCCTGGGCTCTGGCCCAGCTCCCATTCTGGGGCCTCTGGGGAAGGGCTTGGGGGCGGCGCTGGGCCTGCAAGGGTGCTGCTGGGGTTGGGGACAGCCTGCTCCGACGCCCACCCCGCGGGCAGGGAGGCAGAGCAGGGGCAGCGGCAGGAAGGTGCTGGGAGGCAAACTCTCAGCCCAGCCGGAGCCACCGCGCACTGGCCGGCAGAACCCACTCACACTAGAAACCCTTCTAAGCCTGTTTCTTTCTTTTATGGTTTTCAGTTTTATCTGAACTCGTCCGTAATAAAAATGTCCTCGCAGGGTTTCTAGGACTGGGACTTGCTCGGGCTTCCCGAGAGCTAGGTCACCCTCCGGCCAGGCGTCCTGGCTGGTCCTGGCTGCTGGGGCCCAGCGTGAGCTCCCAGGCCACGCGTACTTCCAGGAAGAAGGCGATCTTTGGGGAATGTGCGGGAGCTAAAGATTAATCCGCCTGGCGGTGGTGACGCAAATTCTACTGAAGCTACAAGATTCCAGGAGTTCCCGGACAAACCCAAGGTCAATTCCAGGCAGAGGGAGCCTGGGCTGCGGCAGCCCCTGGTGGTGGTGTGTGTGTGTGTGGGGGGGGGGGGGGGGGGATGGTGTGTGGGGGGGGTGGTGTGTGTGTGTTGGGTGGTGTGTGTGTGTGTGTGTGTGTATTGGGTGGTGTGTGTGTGTTGGGTGGTGTGTGTGTTGTGGTGTGTGTGTGTGGGATGGTGTGTGTGTGTGTGTTGGGTGGGGGGTGTGTGTGTGTGTTGGGTGGTGTGTGTGTTGGGTATGTGTGTGTGTGTTGGGTGGTGTGTGTGTTGGGTGGTGTGTGTGTTGGGTGGGGTGTGTGTGTGTGTGTGTGTGTGTGTATGTGTGTGGGGGGGGGATGGTGTGTGGGGGGGGGTGGTGTGTGTGTGTTGGGTGGTGTGTGTGTGTGTGTGTGTGTGTGTATTGGGTGGTGTGTGTGTGTTGGGTGGTGTGTGTGTTGTGGTGTGTGTGTGTGGGATGGTGTGTGTGTGTTGGGTATGTGTGTGTGTGTGTTGGGTGTTGTGTGTGTGTGTGTGTGGTGTGTGTGGTGTGTGTGTGTGGGTGTTTGTGTGTTGGGTGGTGTGTGTGTTGGGTGGTGTGTGTGTGTGTGTGTGTGGTGTGTGTGTGTGTGGGTGGTGTGTGTGTGTTGTGGTGTGTGTGTGTGGATGTGTGTGTGGTGTGTTGTGTGGGGTGGGGGGTGTGTGTGTGTGTGTTGTGTGTGTGTGTTGGGTATGTGTGTGTGTGTGTGTGGGTGGTGTGTGTGTTGTGTGTTGTGTGTGTGTGTTGGGTGGTGTGTGTGTTGTGGTGTGTGTGGTGTGGGGTGGTGTGGTGTGTGTGTGTGGGTGGGTGTGTGTGTGTGTGGTGTGTGTGTGTGTGGTGTGGGTGTGTGTGTGTGTGTGTTGGGTGGTGTGTGTGTGTGTGTGTGTGGTTGTGTGTGTGTGTTGGGTGGTTGTGTGTGTGTTGGGGTGGTGTGTGTGTGTGTTTGGTGTGTGTGTGGTGGGGTGGTGTGTGTGTGGGGGGGTGTGTGTGTGTGTGTGTTGTGGTGTGTGTGTGTGGTGTGTGTGTGTTGGGTGGTGTATGTGTGTGTGTTGGGTGGGGTGTGTGTGTGTGTTTGGGTGGTGTGTGTGTGTTGGGTGGGGTGTGTGTTGGGTGGTGGGTGTGTTGTGTGGTGTTGGTGGTGTGTGTGTGTGTTGTGTGTGTGTTGGGTGGTGTGTGTGTGTGTTGGGTGGTGGTGTGTGTGGGGGGGGGTGGTGTGTGTGTGGGGGGGTGGCGTGTGTGTGTGTGTGTGTTGGGTGGGGGTGTGTGTGTTGGGTGGTGTGTTGTTGTGTGTTGTGTGTTGTGTGTGTGTGTGTGTGTGTGTGTGTTTGTTGTGGTGGTGTGTGTGGTGTGTGGTGTTGGTGGTGTGTGTGTGTGTTGGGTGGTGTGTTGTGTTGTTGGGTGGTGTGTTGTGTGTTGTGTTGTTGTGTTGTGTGTGTGTGTGTTGGGTGGGGTGTGTGTGTTGGGTGGTGGTGTGTGGTGTGTGTGTGTTGTGTGGTGGTGTGTGTGTGTTGTGGTGTGT